GGATGAAACTGGCGAGTACTGCAATCCAGGCCTAAAAGCCTTGATTGAGTTTAGATTGTTTTCGTGTTGAGGTTATGCTTCCTATGAGAGGATCGCGACTTAAGTCCGCAATGCCCGTCCGACCTAGTTGGTTGGCCAACACCCCGGAAAGCTCCACTACACTTCGTTTGCAGACTCAAGCTGTTAATTGATGTATTTTGTAGTCAACATGGCATCCGGCGGAATGCATTATGTGATGCCTTTTGACGCAGGGAGCTCAGCGGAAAGACAGCCAACAAGAGATCCGGCAATGGCCTGCCTCCCAGACAAGCATCTCGTACGGATGTGGGCTGTAGATTTTCTTCCTTGGCAACTACTCAAATCTGAAAATCTGGGCTGCGTACGAGTGACAATGCTCCAGCATCAGCCCCAGCTTCGTGAACTACTCAACTGAGCTACTCACGTTCAAAAGTCTCAAGTTCGAGCTACTAAAGTCTGAAAATCTGGGCTGCGTACGAGTGACAATGCTCCAGCGCCGGCCCCAGCTTCGTTGATAACGGCTCGGTTGGATAGTGAAGCGCCAGGAACGTCCTTCTCTTCCTCTCACTACTGGCAGTCCCTGCCAGCATGGATGCCGCTGCCGCGGGCGGCATAAGAGGAGGTGGCCAATGCCGGGCGAACCGGCAATGACATGTGAATGGGGATGCGGGCGGCCCCTTGAAAAGGACGCCGTACATGAGTTTACCTGCAGCGTCTGTGGGTGGTCTCAGTGCAGAACCATGTGCTGCAGGCAGTGCTGCCGTGAGTCGCACCGTCGTACGGTGAACCCCCTGAGCCACCTAAGGCAAGGGCATGGCGAAACTAAGGGATGTTCCCGATCTGAGGCGCCGCGCCTTGCCTCAAACGAGGCTAGTGATCTGACTTGCCCCTGACTGGGCAGAAATCGCACGTGCGAAAATGAGTGGGCAATCATGGTATGCTCTGAGTGCACCGAAGTGCACACAAACATTGTATGCTCTGTTAGCTGCGTAGGCCTCCCACTCTGACATGATCTCAAACATGGTATGCTCTGTTTTGTGTGTGCGTAGCCTTTTGCAGTTCAAGTCTTGTAGCTTTGTAGCCTTCCTTTTTGACCTCGAGGCCTGGTTGAGAGGTGCACGTAGTCGTACTGCTTCTGTCTTGCGTGTTGCTTGAGTAGTTGTGGACACTTGGCTGAATTTGATTGTTTGCTTGCAAGTTTGTTTCCGCAGCTGTTTTGTAAACATGGAGGACAGGACAGGACGAATAGGGCCAGGAGCTCTCTGCCTGAGCAGAGGCTCAAGCTCCCATGGGAGACATGGTTGGATGGGACGTTCCTGTCCTTGCCTCAGCTGGACCTTGCTAGGCCAGCAGCGGTGCCAATTCCGGACCCGCCTGTGGAGTCGAGTAGTTCAAGCCTTGGCGCGAAGATGACCGCAGAAGTTCTGCCCTGTTCAAGATCCAGGCAGTGGTTGAAGCGTGGCCGCACGCTTTCGGCTTGGCAAGGATGTGCCGCACTCTTGAAGGTTTGGATTTTGAGGAGCTGACGTACAGCATCGAGGCGAGCGTCTCGCGCAAGGCTACCTCCACGATGGTGAGGCGCCTTAGCAGCTTGACCCACTACGTTAAGTGGAGCTCTTCTACGAGCATCACCCCGTTTCCAGTGACAGA